ACAAACAACAAACAACAAACAACAAACAACAAACAACAAACAACAAACAACAAACAACCAACAAACAACGATCAACAATCAACAAACAACAAACAGCCAACAACAAACAACAAGCAACCCACAACCAACAACCAACAACCGACAACCAACAACCAACAACCAACAATCAACAACCAACAGCCAACAACCAACAACCAACAACCGACAACCGACAACCAACAACCAACAACCAACAACCAACAACCAACACGAACCAGAACAAGAACAAGAACAAGAGCAAGAGCAAGAGCACCAGCAAGAGCAAGAAGAAGAAGAAGAAGAAGAGCGACGACGACGACGACAGCAACAACAGCACGAACCATAACAAGATCAACGCGAGCCAGAACAAGAACAAGATCAAGAGCAAGATAAGAGCAACGACAAGAGCGTTAAGAGCTACAAGAGCAGTAAGCAACCAGAGCAACAAGAGCGACAAGAGCGACAAGCGCGACAAGAGCGACAAGAGCAACAAGAGCGACAAGAGCAACAAGAGCGACGAGAGCCAGCCAGCGATGAGAGAGAGTCACGACAGACAGCCAGCGACGAGAGACAGCGACGAGAGACAGCGACGACAAAGAGCGACGAGAGACAGCGACGACAGACAGCGAGGACAGCAACGACGGACAGCGACGACAACGGCGCGACAGCGACAGCGACGGCAACAACAGTAACGACAACGACCGCAACGGCAACATCAACCACAGCCAAAAGGCAAACCGTGACGCGAGGGAAACAACACTGACCGAAGTAGCCGCGGTTTGATCCTGGGCCCTGGGATCTGTCTTTTCGGCCATGTGCGCAGAAGAGGAAGAAGATGAAGAATACCACGGCATGAGCAAACAATTACGGAGAACAACAAGAGTCGGCGTGACATGCATTGCAGGGCATTGAAGAAGACGACGAGACATCTGGGCTTTGGACTCAGAGCTCAGGCTAAGGGTCGAAGTGGGCTGCGAGGATTCTGATTCAGGGATGGGCCATCGCTCAAGTAGCAAGGGTTTCAGCGTGCTTGACTATGAATTCTGCCTTGAGCGAGGCCAGATGGCCTTCCTGGCCCCAAGCCTGGTTTTACGGCCCAGTGGGCCTCTCAGTTGATTGCTTCTTTGTCCAACCACGAGCATGCCATTCCGCTTGCAATGACCCAGGATGAGGCTGCAGAGGGATTTTTTAGCTCAGTTTGCGAGGCTGGACAGCTATTTCTTGTATCTGCGAGCAATGAGGGAGCAGAGTCTGTGCAGCCTTCAAGTGTGAGGCCAGAACCGCCACCGTCAACTCAAAGGTCTGCTGTGCTCCGTGAGGCAGAGGTGATGTGAGGTTCGGTCAAAAAATCCAGCAGTGTATGGTCTATTCTGGAGGCACGTGAGGGGGGGGTACTCCTCACTTCTACAAAAGCAGGGGACACTAATTGTGCCTCGAGCTTGTAAATCGAAACAGAAACAAAGCCAGATCACGCATTGCAGGCAGCAGCTGGCTTGCCAGTGGACGCGGCAGAGGTGGGGGGGTAGGAAGAATGTTTCCAAGTTCGAGCTTGGACGCGGCAGAGGTGGGGGGTAGCAGGAATGTTTCCAAGTTTCAGCTTTTGACGCGATCGGAGACTTCTGGACAACTTGTTGGAGAGGGGCACACACACACACACAGCCACGCGCGCGCGCATACGCTCACGCTCACGGGCACACTCATGAGCACGCACACGCACACTGTGGAAGCGCGACCTCGAAAACGCAAAAAAACAACAACACAAAAAACCGAAAACACAAAGAAACTGGGAAAATGCAGAAGCGTCGAACACGGGAGAACACAAAGCGCGAAAACCGCGAGAACAGGAAACGAGCAGAGCGCGAAAACGCAAGAGTGCGGAGACACGAAAGCGCGGAAAGGCCCTGTAAAACACGAAGACGTGCGCAAACACGCGAAACCACAAAAGCGATTTTCTCGTTTTCCCGTTCTTGCGTTAATTCCAGACCGGAAGCCGCGTTTTGGCAGCTTAGCTGAATGGGGACCCCCCTTCCCCCACTCCCCGACGTTTTCTGGCGTTTTCCGGCGGTTTCCGAAGCCAACCCAAGGTCCTCCTGCTGAGACCCGGGCCTGGCCCTGCCACACCGTGGGCATCGGCTGGCTTGCCAGCTAGCCTGGCCAGGGCCACGGTTCACAATATTGCCAGACTGATTGTGGGTGTGTTTGTTTTGTTTTAGGGGACCTTACTCCCAGAAAAGGGGTACTCTCAAAGAAAAGACAGCATCTCTTTCTAGATGCAGATGTGGTTTCCCTTTTGGTTTTCCTTCAACACCGCAAAAAAGGGGGGGGTACCCGCAAAAAGGACACACCAAGTTTGTGTATCTTTTGAGCTGGTATTCTTTCTGGGGCTGGTCTTCTGAGGCAAGCCAACAGGATTTGCATTTTGTTGACTTCAATTTTACGTCTACGTTGGACACAGCTCCAGTCCGTTTTTTTTTTTTTTAGCGATGATTCCGAGACCGATGGAGCACAAAGTCTCTTTGACTTTAGTCTAGCGCTTCTGCAGCTGGCAGTTACTTGTTGCGTTGATACCAAGCAGTTCTCAAGCGCAAAAAGGGAAACTGCAGCATGCGATTTTGGGCAATTTCCTGATCATAGCACATAGCAGCTTGACCCAATAGCGGCATGTTTTGAACTCAACCCGAACTTGCTCTGCGCTGCGACGGAGGAAACTATTGTAGAAAAGCGCGTTTAGGCATTTTCTTATGGCGGCACTTTGGTTTGCCAAAGTTTTCTACCGGGAGCAAACTGGGACTGGTTTGCGGGGCAAGTTTGAGCCTTGATTTGCAGCAAGTTTCTTTTTCTTTCAAACGCCTTGAGTTCTCCACAAGCGAGTCAAACTCTGCTGCGGTGACTCATTTGCCCTGCCTGGAAACATGTTTTGCAACTCTCATGCACACGGCCAAGATGGAAGAGACTTTCTTTAGACACCACTATGATGAAAAGGATGGCAGAGGAGGAGCAGCAGGCAGCAGGAGAGAGAACAGAAGCAGATCCGCATGCGAGTGCAGTTTCTTGTTTTTGGGATGCCGAGGCCTGTGTCGCAGCAACTCTTCGCCTTTTTGCCCGTCTCATGCCTGGAAGTGTCAGCTTCTCAGCTTTGTGCAAGGCATTACATCTGCTTCCTCTGCTGTAGGTTCCAGAATCAGCGTGTGATGACTTTTGCAGAGCCGTGGTCCGCTCAGCATTGTGATCCGATGAGCCAAGACGGGGCCACATGGGCTTTGGAACAGTGGGCATACTCAGTGAGTCCTGTCCGATGAGTTGCCAAGGCCGCAAAGACAGCTGTCACGCTTTGCTCTTAGCCAGGTATGCTGAAATTCAAACCAATCCTTCCCAGTCCTTTGAACATACTATTCCTGGTGCTTCTGCACCAATCTGCTTGGATGGGGCAGGCAGTTTGTGCGCATCCTTTGTTGTAATGATCTTTCGAAGCCATATGGGAGTTCTCAGAATGGTGGATCCCCTGTTAGTCGGTATTTTAAGGGAAACCAACAGGACACCAACCATTTTAGGGTACTTCCTTGTTGAAACATGCCCAGATCAAACCAAAAGACGGCCCTATTCGTTCCAAGGCGCAGCCCTGAGCTGATGGAGCTGGCTGGGCGCTGTGGCCTGCGCGCACAGGCACTTGCATCTCCGGTCGAGGCTTTGCAGGAGAGGCAGCGGTACTTCGGTGCGTTGCCTCGTGTTGCCATAAGGGCGTGGCTCAGAATTTAGCCAGGGGACCACAGGTTTTAGTCCACCTTGCCATTTCGGGTTCCATTTTTGGCTTCTAGTGTTGAGCCACACCCATACAGCGGACTTAAATGGAAGAGACTTGCAGCCGCGAGACACATGCTGCCGTTTGCGTGCTCATGGGAGCCTACTTAGCATGGCCTCGTGTCTCTCCCGAGTCTGGAGGAGCTTCTTGCCAGAACAAAAAAAACAGTTCCCGTCGTTTTCAGTCTGTTCATTGCAATCATAAGTATTCAGAGAGAGAGAGAGAGAAAGAAAGAAAAAAGAAAGAAAGAAAGAAAGAAAGAAAGAAAGAAAGAAAGAAAGAAAGAAAGAAAGAAAGAAAGAAAGACAGAAAGACAGAACGACAGAAAGACAGAAAGAAAGAAACAAAGAAAGAGAAAAAGAGAGAGAGAGAGAGAGAGAGAGAGAGAGAGCTGGACGCCATGGGGCGTGCGTGTTTGAAACCAATGAATGACAGCATGTCCATTGCAGGTGATGGATGTATGCCATAGTACCTTCAAACAAGTAGTCGAAAACTGCAAGCACCATGAGGTCCGCTACTGTACATTATCGGCGCAGCTGTCATATTGGCCATGGCCATGTGTCCTTGAATCCAGCTCAGGATGTGGAGGCCGCTTGTCTACTCTTGCATCTTGGCCTGTACCAGTCGTTTGATTTGGAGGTCCTGATGTGCAAGGGTGCCCGTTCCTTCCTTTCGGCACTCGACAGTTTTCTGAGGAAGGCAAAGCTGACGAGGCGTTGGACGAAAGCCCAGGCCTCCCTTCGCCCGTTTGACGCTCTGCATGAGATTCTCTGCAGGCAATTCAGACGAGGGCAATGCAGACGAGGGCGCGGGACTTGCAGACTTGCAGACTTGCAGAAGCGGATCACAGGTACCGCTTTTGGAGTCTAGGGAGGGCTCCAGTTAAAAAAACCCGATGTGTTGGGTTGCAATCACAGAGCATTTTGAGACAAACACAGAGCACTTGGCATGTACCTTGCACAGGTGAAGGCGAGGAAAGCCTCAAGCAGAACTCTCGTCGAGCCCTCAAACACTTGGGCTGTGTTCAGCAAAGACTTGTAAAAAAAATCAAGGGAAGAAGGGGAAGAGATTGAGGTATTTCTTGAATCATTCAATCACCTTTGGCAAGCACGACGTAGCTGCTACGCCAGCTTTCCAGGGGATGAGTGTGTCCTAACCACAGCGACTGACTTTTGATGTCACACACACAGACAGATTATGATGTGCACGGCTCTCTCCTCGGGTAGCAAAAGCTTCAGAAACCATGAGGAGCGTTGTCAATATTCACTCCCTCTACTGCCGGCGGTACCTACCTACGGTCAAGGGGGCCAAAAGCCATGCGCAGACAGTCCAATCCTGAGGAACTCTGGTGCTGTTGTTAAACTCTTAAGTGGCAGCGTGTTTCCACATGAAATAGCAACCTGCAGCATGACAAATTTCAGTGCCATTCCTTGACATCCTGCTCGCTCCAAACGGTGACAACAGTGATGACCATGACTTGCAATGGTAGAGGGTCCGAAACAATTTTGAGCACAAGGGCACGGTATGATTACAAATCGATTTGGTTGTGTGTGTTTTTTAGTTTTGAGGCTACCCCTGTCGGTTTGTCAGGAACGCCCGCGCGCTTTTCCGGTGTCCCCTTTTTTGGACTCCCCGTCTCGTGTCATTTACATTGGGCATGAGGTGCAGGCCTCGCCCGGCGCCGGCGCTTGGGAACAAGCTCAAGCGTGCCGGTCATGGAGCTGGACCGAATCCCGGTCGTCCGCTTGTCGAAACCGTGCTCGAATGGCCATGAGGATTTTCCATGGGGAACCGTGCCATGATCATTTGCATCCATCCCAGCCCTCAGGCAAGAGTCTCGCATCAGACACTGATGTTGCTTGAAGGAGCGCCCACTGTGCAGAAATTGGGAGGCTGGCACGGGTAAGGGGCGAGTCAGGAAACAGAGTCAGAAAGGAGGTTGGTGCAGTCAGGAAACGGGTTGGTCCAAGTCAGGAAACACGGTCATTTGCTTCCAAACTCGGTCTAGTCTCGCTGGCACTGTCCATGTTCCTCCGAGGCTTTCAACTTGAGCCCAGCAACATACATTGCTTCCGGATACGGGGTATTTGACTGTTGACTTCTGCTATGCGCGCTGAAAGGATTGTTTGTTTGGTTGCGATGAGTCTGCGTGACAGAGCAGCCTTGATCCACTTTGATGCAGGTCGCATCCCCCACTGCAACAACGAGTTCACTGCCATCAAAACCTGTTACTGTGCCACTTGGCCTTTTGATGACCCTTTGGGATTGCAGGCGCGATGAAGCGCATCGCAAGCTGTTCGTATTGTTCCAGCTCACCGCAATCTTTGGCTTCCGGGAAAAGGGCTTGTGGTTTTGTGGGCGAAGGGTGGGATCAAAGTCCCCGAGTTTGGGGTTTAGGGTTTGCGGACACACGATTAGCTTCCCTTTTAAGCCAAGCTCAAAAGCCCCTTAAATGTCAGATTTTTCCTCAGCCGACCTTGTGGCGTGGAAGCTCTTTGCTCCACTCAGGGCTCGGAGACTTGTTCATGACTTTTGCAGCTCATTGTCTTTGAAGCGAGCGGGCACAGAGAAGCAAATTGCCCTGTTCAGAGACGTTTCTGATATGTTTGGAGATCTGAGCAAGTTTTCATCCGTGTCAACGAGGTACATTCGATCACTTGGTGGCGAGACCCTGCTGGAGTTGCCGCAGACAAGCGCCCTGCAGCATTTTATGGAGTCTGGAAGCTGGCAAGCTGCGGAATATGGGTGTGCGTTTTTTTGAAGTACCCCCTAAAATGGGTGGCTCGAGACCCTGCTGGAGTTGCCGCAGACAAGCGCCCTGCAGCATTTTATGGAGTCTGGAAGCTGGCTAGCTGCGGAATATGGGTGTGCGTTTTTTTGAAGTACCCCCTAAAATGGGTGGCTCCACTAGTTTCCCTTTAAAACCGACACAAAAACAGGTACGCTCAACAAAGACGCCCATATGTTTGCGTGCCCAGGCTATCGGCACGTGCTGATCTTGCCGTTGAAACATTTCGTGTGTGGCCTTCTGCACTGGAACCCGAGCGCCTGCGAATTGGTTTTTTATGACGATGTCCTTGCGCTGGAGGATCAGCGTGCCAGCTGCATTGATCGATGTTTGCACTCGATTTCTTACCACATGTCTCTTTCAAGACCGGACACATGCGAGAGCTAATCTACGTGTGGGTGTGTGTCTTTGTAGGGCACCCCCAAACTTATTGTGTTTTTTTTGGTTTTCCACTTAAAATCTAACCGAAACGGGGTCCCCCCAAAATGTGCATCCAAGGCTGCACAACAGGATCCCAGCGGGCTGCGAAAGAGTGGAGCTTCTTCTCTACAGACGGAAGGTATCTTTGTGCTTCCAGGCAGTTGCGATTCAATCATGCGTATGTGCTTTGTGTTGTCAACACATTTCAGGGCTGCCGCCCAGTGCTGCCTCCCTTAGTGCTAAACTTGATGAAATATTGTCCCAAGCGAAGCCACTGCTAAATTTATTGGTTCAATGATAGGCAACAAGCCCACTCCACGCTCTGGCTCTAGATTGCTCCAAGGTTCAGCCCTTCTGCCAAAAAATCAGCCGATTTCTGCCCAGTCGTTGTTGTGAAACTTGATAGTCAATGGACGGCCTTTTTAGGGCGGTGGGTAGAATCAAACCTCTGAAAGCAGCCAACACCCTTAGATGCGGGCGCCACGAGCCCCGCGTGCCATTCGCGGCGAATATAATAGAAATGGAGGTGCAGCCAACATCCCATATCTCCATTGGGCAGATAGACAGACACCCCAACATCACCGGTCTACAAGGCCATCAACGTCGGCCATCGAACCCCTAGAAACGTGATTGCAACCGAGGTGCGCTGTAGGATCCCCGCGGCGCTTTAGGTGCGCGCGTGCCGTTTAAGCAGTCAACATCCCCAGCATTTTTGATCGCTAGGGTCGACCTCGGCCAGGCGAGCAAGAGTCCAAGCACGCGTCTTGATTTGGGTGACCCATTTGGATGTGTCTTTTTTCGAAGGTACCCCTGTAATTACCTCCCCCTTTTTGGTGGTTTGAAGGGACACCACCGCTTTGAAAAAAGACAACACATTTTGAGAGCCAGTTGTTTGTGCCAGTTTCTTTTCCGCTAATTCCTAATTTCCCTGAGGGCCCTGGCCTCGTTGGCTGCCCGCTCAGACGGTAGGTTGAGTGCAAGTGAGCGCCCCGAGCCAGCTTCAAGAAGGGGTGAGTGTCGACCAAGCGTGGAAGATCCTGGTCTATCACCTCCCTTTGCCTCATAGAGCTAGATATTTTGGTTTTGACCAAGGTGGACATGGTTTGGCCGACATCTGTTGATCAGACTGGGCTGCTGCCTGCAGTGCCAGACTCTGCTTCATTCCCCATAGGCACAAGCGGTCCCTAAGCTTTTGAGGAAGGCTAGACTTCCGGAGGCTACTTCGCCAGCCACCCTTCCCATGCGCCGCTTTTCGGAGAAGGGGTTGGCGGATTCACTTGCAAGTGCTACCTCAGCAGCCAATCCCGTGGCCACAATGTCGAGTACTGAGCGGACTGTTCTGCTTCAGCATGCAAGTTGACAACCAAAGACTAGTTGGTCCTGAAAAGAGAGATGGTTGCAGCTTTGGCTCACTGTTCACACTGCAGGATTCTTTATCAGGTTGAACGCCACAGCTGAAGTTGCCATGAAGCTGAGTCGGCATCCGCCAAACCAATTCGAGCATGCAGAGCGCGCCTTTCAAGCAGTGGCCCGGCGAGCAGCTTTGCATGATGCCTCAATGCAGGAATGCAGGAAACTTAGTGGGCTCCGGTTAGTCCAGAGCGCATGCCTTCTGGGGCGCTGTAGCGACTGCAAAGCAGTTGATGGAGCGCATGTTGGGCTCCAGTCGGAAAAGCAAGTTCGCGGGACTCTGCAGGCGTCTTGAAATTGCCTTAGCACAACCTCCCTCGCAGGCATTTGAGAAGTAAATAATCACAGGCAGGATCACGTTTTATTTTCAGCGTTGTTCCCTCATGTGAGGCCAGAACAGAGTGTCAGGCAGTCAACCAACCTGCCAGAAGTGTAGTGCCCAGCGAGGGCAATGGCACACCCCTTTGCCGCATGCAAATCATTCCAGGACATGGTGAAGAACAATCTTTGTACCTGTTGCGTGCTGCTCGAGTCCTACGTGGGTGCCTCGAAGGACCAGATTCAGGGTTATCGCACGTGCATGAAGCCTTCCACTCACTTTTGCGTTTCAGCAGTGTTTGTGTTTTGAACCAAAGGTCATATTCACAGCTGAAAGCTTTGGGCTTGTGCGTTTAGCTTCCGGGGTGGTGCGGGGCGGCTCTGAGGTAAGGTTCTGGGGAGTTTCGGGGCGGTTCCGAGGAAGGTTCCGGGGAGTTCCGAGCTGCCAAGGGCGAATAGGGAGCGTGCAGCAAATGCAGGTTTGGACAACATGCTTTGGCCTAGCTGCATTTGAGATCCTGTGAGATGGCGGCGGAAAATTGTAAACGCTTTGCGTTGCCCGCCTCGGCCAGTCCGCTTTTGGCTGGCTCTGAGGTATCTACGGTGTTGCGTTTCTTAGAGTGAGTGAGTTGGCACCGAAATGGGCGCATGTCCGCGCGTTTCCACATGGCTTCAAGGGCCAGAACAAGAGCCGCAGAGAGCTACAGAACGGCAGTGGGCTTGGACCAGGCCAACGTGCAAATTCCTGGGGAATTTGAACAACGTTTCTAGGGAATTCGCCGATGTCTTGGGGACGGGATTCGACAGGTTTCTATGAGTTTGACCGGTTTGCACGGTTTTTAGTGGAGATTTGTTTGTGGGGAATGGACCTTTGTAGAGGGGATATGACTGGTTTCTTGATGGGAAGTTGGCCGGTTTCTAGGGGTGCTTTGATCGGTTTCTAAATGTCTGGGGAGAAATTGCCGGTTTCTAGAAGAGACCAGTTTGTAGTTTTGGCCGGAGTTGGACCGGTTTTGGACCAATTTTGGTGGGTTCTGAAGGGGTCTGATCGCTCCCCGGCCCTGGGGGCAGTTGTTTGAGATTATGTATGACCGGCCAGGCCGTTGTTTGCAGAAAGCAGGGCATCAGTGACGTGTGTCATTCTTTGAAAGGTCGTTTGGGGGCGACAGCGTTCGCAGCTACGCCCACAGTGCAAGCAAGCAGGCGCGCGACGATTGTCATGATTGGATTTGATATTGCCGTCAGATATGGTTGGCGTTGAAATTGTTGTTCGCCTTGATGTCTCTCCGTTGTTGAGACCGATGTTGAACTTGCTGTGGCTGGTTTGTTTCGCGCTGCTGCTGTATGGCTGCTAAGACTGCATTTCCTATTTATTGCTGTTTTTCTGTATTAGTGTTTTTGTCGTGCTCATTGTTGCAGTTTAGTTATTGTTGCGGCTGTCGTTGTGTCGGTGGTCATTGGTGTTAGTGCCTTCGCAAAAGCGCTCCGCATGCTGTTGGGGATATCACCCAAACTTATTTCCTGCCAACCTCCAACAACATGCTGTCGCCTAGCCGGGAGCAAGCGCTTCCATGTCAGCATCCGAAGGGTTGTGAAAATCTGTTTGGCGGATCCTGGGGGTTCTGATAGTCTCTCAGATATGGGAAGGTGTCAAACAAGGGCGCCCCAAAAAGCCTCCCGTTAAACCAATCGGAAAAGCAATCAAGCACAACCCAATGCCAATATCTCCGTCAGCTTCCAACTTTTGCCCAGGTCGGGGTTCAGGAAGATCCTGCGACCGGTGAGGAAATGGAGGATGAGGCGAAACGATACGGCCATTGTCAAAACGAACGGATGATGGTTTGCCATGAGCACACAAACATTTTTGCATTGGTGCATAGCTCTTGAGTTTGCGTTATTCGATCTGTGTAGGTTGGATTTCATTGCCTTCTTGTGGTCGGCGGCGACCTTTTAGGCCTGCGCCTGGTGTGACTCGCAATCAGTTCGTTCTAGCTGGAGTTGCAGTCAACTTGGAGATTGCTGGACAAGAGGGCAGATGTGTAGCATTGTTACCTTCGCACAGGACCTACCTACGTCACGTTTGACCCGTGGGGTTGCCGCGCAGGGGAGGCTTGACAGAGAGATTCGCAGCTTTGTTTCACGTCGTTTGGTCTTGCGACTTTGCAAAGGTGAGCTTTGTGTCAGACCACGCCATGAACTCCTCATCGCCGATTGGATTCGTCTGAAGCTGTGATGGCTATGGCCAAACTTGGCACCATATTCGACATTTGCTGCGAGTGGCATGTTTAGCATGTTTAGCAAGACGGGCTTAGGTGCAATTGATGGCGCCGTTTGATGCTGGCTGTGGATCTGCATAACAAAATTGGAGGGCGTGCCAACGTGTGCTTCTTTTTATGACTCGCAAAAGTGAATAGGCTGCAAGTGTTGTCATTTTCATGCAGAACTTGTGTCGTGTCACGGCGCAGCTGGCTTCAGCCTGCATTTGCTGCTTTGCCTCAAAGCATATCACACATCTCAGAGCTTGTCAGCAAAGTACTTGTGTTTTTTTTTTTTGCAAAGCTGCGCAGAAACTGTTTCAGAGGAATCAGACATTCAACATAACTTTGGGCAACTACTTGGCCACAATGATAGGCATGATCCATTGCCCAATCCGGCGCTGGAATCCCATCCTACGGACACACACACACACAAACAAGAAGTGAGGCTATTGAAACAATATTAATATACACACATCAAAGTGCAGAGTATGTCGACAGCTGTGTGACCAGCAAATGCCTTAAAGACGTGATTCTCTGTTGAGAAGTCTCCGTTACGTCGCAAGCCAGGCCATTCCTTGCCCCGAGGTGCTTGAGCACATGGCCGAAGATGCCGAGGAGGTGGAGGAGCTGCGCAAAACGCTGCATACAGTTGCTACACCGAAAATGGCACGGGGATCAAATCAACTCTGTTTTGCGGCTCTTCCATGACGCTCTATGCCTCTTTGCAGGATGAGTCCCTTATGACGCAGCTCTCGCGTGCGATGGGAAGCTCTGCGCAGGTGTGCACGTGCATGAGCTATTCACCGTAGTCTTTCTCCATTTTGCTTGCTTGCTTGTTCATGATGCAAAGCTCCCGAACAAGATGACACCTTCACACCCGTCCAGCAGTGTCTCTGCCTCTCTCTGCCTCTCTCTGCCTCTCTCTCTCTCTCTCTCTCTCTCTCTCTCTCTCTCTCTCTCTCTCTCCCTCTCGCTCATCGCTCGCTCGCTGCTTGCTCCATCCCACCCTCCTCTCCCCTATCGCATCTCTCTGTCTCTCTCTCGCCACAATGCAAGCACCCAACTGGACGTGCTGAACAAGATACTAGCACCTCTTGTCGTTTGGTTTAGGCCGGTGCCCCTTTCCCGCAGGCTGATGCCAATGGCGAGCAACCCGTTTCGCACTTGGGCTTCACCTGAACAGACGTCGACAGTTTATTTGGGCCAGAAGTCTCGCAAACTGAGCGGTAGGTGGTGTAAGCCTTGGACTACCGCTTAAAGCAGTGGCGTAAGGCTCCGCAGGAAGCGCCGGAGGACGTGAAGGCATCGGCATGGTTGTCCATGTTGAGCAACTGCAAAGTCATCGGGTTTTCCCATCACGGAAGCAGCGGACGAACCATTGTCGATTGCCCAGTGAGAATAAATTACAAAAAACAAGAATCCTCTCGGCCGTTGGCAGGCCGACCTCGAGGCGGCGGCAGAAAAGCCTGCAGGCGCTGCGAGTGGTTTGCTTTTGGGTTCCCTTAAGGGGTCCTCTATTCCAGACAGACCGGTTTGTTTTTGAGGGAGCCTATTGTCAGGTAACCCTTATTTGGTTGGGATTGGTGGGGGGGCTTCTTGTTGATGGTAAGTGGGAAACCCCCTTAGCCTCCAAAATCCAAACCAATTTAAATCACCAATAGGAAGCTGATATTGCTGCCAGGGACAGCTGCTGAGCACGAGACCTCTGAGGCACGAGACCAAAAGCCTTTGGCAAGTCCTTAGCTTGGGAAATGCTCAAGGGGCATGTGTCAATGGGCCTTTAGTCCCTGAAACATGCGTACACCCCTCAAGGTGTGAGAGAGGCTATGTATTGCTTGCTGATTTGGCTGCCAAGGGGTCGACTGCAAGCAGCCATCACTTTTCTACAAACCTTTGCGGAGCAGATATGATCCCTTACAAAAGCAAGGAGTGTACCACGGCGCACTTTTTCTCGAGGCCAAAGAAGATGTCCTTGACAGCGGTGTGCCAAAGGTCACCTACGACGAAGAGAAGGGCAATTTCACTAAGGAGCTCTGGAAGTGTCTCACAGATTCTGTTTGTTGCAAAGGGCTTGCAGCATTTTGACTTCAGGATGGCAGGTGGATTCTCCCAAAGCGCAGCCAGTTTCCATCAGTTTTCTGTGCCTTGCGAGCGCGCGGCTCATTTTTGAGTCTGCTAGTAATTCTTGATTTAAGCATTGCACATATATCACTGTTGAAGCTTTGTCCTGGAGCCATAAGCCAGCTGATAGGTGCGTGTGCGGCTTTCGCCTTCGGGGGCTGCGGATGTGCTGGATTCCTAGCCATGGACATTGCCGGATTGTCAGGCGCTTGCTTGGTCCGTCTTTTGCCTAGGAATCCGTGGAAGCTTTCCGTAGAAGAGGCGATTCAGCGGCCTCGTTCGCAGACATGGCTGTGGGTCAAAACTCTGTACCCCTGGTGAACATCAAAATAGGTGGCAAATGGATGTTCATCCACCCCAAAAATGGAGCCATAGGTTATGCCCCATGGCATAGAAGATCTCCGGAGAGCTTTTCCTCGCGAGGTGGAGGCAGTTCTCCGTGACCTCGGCCTGAAAGACCTGGTCCGCTTCGATGCACCAGCCCCATGCAAGCCGTGCTGGTTGAAACCAACTGCCCTCACAGCTTTGCTTCGATGCGTATGCGAGGACAGTCGAGATCATGATGCTGAGCTGCTCTTAAAGCGCACATCCACACAGTTCAACCCAAATGGCAAAGTCATTTGCCAAAGCCCATGACTGGGCCGAGTGGCAGTCGAGCGGATATGTCAGATTGGCCATGGGGTTGTATCGAAGTTCAGGACGGCTGGTTTGCAGGAAACAACCAGCACATCAACCAACCATTTGACAGAGAGAGAGTTGTTTGCGAGAGAGAGTCACAGCCACATGAGTCGTTTGCGGCGGATGTTTGCTGAGATCAACTGCCCTCAGGCCGTCAATGCTCGAGAGGTCATTGTGGCAGTGAATGGGGACTTGCCGTCAGGCCTCCGTGCAATGTGACATGCGGACTTTGCGCTGGGCCGATTTGTGCTTGGGCTGGAGGTCTCGAAGTTGGCAAAGCGAAGGAGGCATGCTCAGTGCATCAAGTTTTCCCTGATCCAATGCCAAGATTTGCAGTTGGGATCTGGCTGGTGCTTGAGAGCACTTTGCAGGTGGAAAGGCTGCACCTCTCAGCTACAATAGTTAATGCCAGTCACCCAAGCTCTCCTTGGTCGCTTAGTAGTCGAGTAACTAATTGACCCCAAGGTCTTGGACACTGCCGATGATCTGGATCCGGTGCGTCTCTCAGCTTGCATTGGCCCGATGCCGCGCCCCGAACTTGATTTCCCCAGCCACATGTGTCTCAAAGTAGGCGACCCGGTTTTTATGCACGCTCTCCGCAGGAGCGGATCAGCACCTTAGCTTGCCGCCTCAAAGAGGGCGAGACTGCTGACGCGCTCGTCATGGAGCTGCCGCAGTGCTGAGCTCAGTGTCTCGAAGGCAAACCAAAGAGGCAAGCTCGAGCCACAATCAAAGCAGAAAGTGCACGAAGGGAGTCCGACCCAGAAATAAACCTTTTCGGCCATCCTAGTTCTTTGGATGGATTTTTTGACCCTTTTAGTACCAAGTTGCCTTGTAAATGGTGGTAGTACCTTTTCAGTACCTGTTTTGGGTTGACCCATTTCTCGCACATCCCTTTCCCACGTGGTGAAGCAGTGGCCGAGGATTTGGATCATCTCTGACCCCGACTTCCGAGCCAAGAGCGCCAGCATTGGCTTCATCCTCAGCTTGCAACAACTGGATATTTTGTTATGAGGCTGGGTCACCAAGTTTCCCACAAAGACCAGGGGACGAGCCCGAATTTTTCAACCATGCCCCTTTGCACAAAATTGCTGTTGGCCCATGGCTGACAGTTTGTCTCCTGGCCAGCGAAAGTCAAGGCTTGTACCCCGGCAGCTTTTGGATGGGTTTTCTCAAATCCTGGGGACCAGCGGCGCCCTCAGACAGTTTGCGAAGCCACTCGCAGCGCGCCTCATGAATGGAATACGGTGGCGCAGTGGTGCAAGTGTTTTGTCTTCAATATCTGGACCTGTCCGAGGTCAGAGTTGCTGAAGTTTTCTTCAGGCTGGGAATGTCATGAGCACGCTGTAGAAGCGGCATGCGGGTCTTGAGCAATTGTGGAGTTTGGTTGCGTGACAGGAAGACAACTCCTGGCGATCCCAAAGAGCCGATTGTTTCTGTCGCGGCCGCGCCCTTCTGACCAGCACAGCTATATGCGTTGCTCAGTGCTGCGTCTCTGCTTTTGAGGTGCTCCTACCACTTTGCTTGAGCAATATTCTGTTTGAAGCTGTTTTGCAGTTTGATATACTTTTTCTTATTATCGATTGGCAGAAGGCTCTTGGATCCCTTTGTGGTTTGGGCACAGCACGATGACATGAAACTCCATGCCCAGGTCAGCTTCCGAGAGCGGGAGGCCTGATTTTCACGTTTGAAGTGAGCCGCGCTCAAATGATGATTGTTTGTCTATGCTCATACGTTATGCGGCAGAATAGGGGAACGCCCAAAATGGGTGGTGTTCCCACACCCACCCCGCACTCGCGCGTGCACGCTCACACGCACGTGCAGTCACACGCGCGCAAGCGGCACGCGCATGCGCAGTCGCAAGCGCACGTGGGCACGCGCACGCGGGCACATGTGCAAGTTCGCACATGCTCACGCGCACGCGCACACGCGCGCACCCACACATCCACACACACACACACCCGCCCGCCCGCCCGCCCGCCCGCCCGCCCGCCCGCCCGCCCACCCACGCACCCGCCTACGCAAACACAAAAACAATCACAAACACAACACAATACAACACAACACAACACATCACAACACATCACAACACAAGAAAACAGCAAAGCAACAGCAAAGCAACAGCAAAGCAACAGCAAAGCGCAACGCAACGCAACGCATTGCAACGCAACGCAACGCAATGCAATGCACGCAATGCACGTAATGCAAAGCAACCCACCACGCCCCACCACACAGCACAGCTTCTTAGTCAACAGATCAGCGGCCGGCCTGGGCCATCTCTGATACGCAGCTTTGCGTGGTATGCTAGACACGGACTGCGCACGTCTTTCCCGCGCATACCTGCGCAAAAGCAGCACCACCACACACCACACCACCCCAGCCCCCACCACACCACACACCATAGCACCCCGCCCAACCCCACACACACACACACACACACGCGCGCACGCGCACGCGCGCACGCACACACGCACACACGCACGCACGCACCATCATCGCTCATGCCCTTGCAACCTGCCAGCGGCATGTAGCGCTACCCGCTTCGCACTGCGCTCGCTGCACGCTGCGCTGCCAGCGCTAAAAGCCCAACGCCTGGTTTTCGCCCGCCGCTTGCCCTGCGCTTTGCGCTGCGCTTGCGCTTTGCGCTTTGCGCTGCGCGCGGTTGCGCTGCGCGCGCTTTGCGCTGCGCGCGCTTCGGGCTTTTACGCTGCGGCGCGCCGCGCGCGCTGCAACGCGCAGCGCCCCCAGCGCAGCGCGCGCGCGCGCGCTGCCAGCGCGCATGACAAAGACGCGCGCCGCCGCGCCACGCGCGCCAGCGCCAGCGCGCAGGAATGGCTCGGTGGCGAGCCGAATGCAGGGCCCTCATTCGGCGCAGCGCCGCAGCATACAGCGCCACAGCGCACAGCGCCTGGCCTGTATTACTCCTAATACTCTAACCTCCTATTACTCCCTAATACTCTAATACTCCTAATACTCTATTACTCCCTATTTTACTCTAATACTCTAATAATATCAGCCCTCTATTTACTCTAATACTCCTATTTTCTATTCTCTAATACTCTAATGCTCTATTACTCTATTATCTCCTAATTATCTCAATACTCTAGCCCTCTAATGCTCTATTACTCTATTACTCTATTTACTCTAATACTCCTATTACTCTAAGTATCTATTACTCTAATGCTCTAATACTCCTAATGCCTCTAAGCCTCTAATACTCTAAGCCTCTAAGCTATAATACTCTAATACTCTATTTACTCTAATAATATCTATTTATCTCTTATAATACTCTGTATAAACCTCTGTGTATATATTATATATGTATACAATGCTCCTTACAAAAGTATATAATATTACTCTGGCTATATATGTACTCTGTATTACTCTGTATTTCATAATGTACTCTATACTATATGTATCATAACCCTCCTGTGTATACCTTACTCTATTAGCCTCCTGGCCTCTGTAGCCTCCCTGGCTTATATATGTACTCTATTACTCTGTGCTCCTATTATATAATAGCCTCCTATTATCTATTACTCCTTACTCCTATTACTCCTATTACTCCTGGCCCTCCTATTTACTCCTGTTACTCCTAATACTCTATTACTCCTAATGCTCTATTTATATATTACTCCCTATTCTTATATATTATATATTAATATAATAAACATAATAACCTCCTGTTATCTAATATATATTATCTCAACCCTTATAACCCCCTCTCAATACTCCTATTATATATTAATTCATCTATTATCTAATATATATTTCTCCCTATACTCCCCTGTTATATTTTTCTATTACCAATATATAACCCTTATAATATCTAATATATAGTATATATATATTATTATGTATATTACATAATATTACCAACCCCTTATGACATACAATGCCACCAGCCCCATACCAGCCTTCCAGCCTGTATACAATGCCTACAGCCACCAGCCTCCTGGCCCCGCCAGTAGCACCAACACCAGCGCCTGTATATGACGCCATGTTGCTTACCGTATCTATAATGCCTGTGCCACCAGCGCCCCTGCTGTGCCTGGCCTTTTTAATAGCCTTGCCAACTTCCTTGCCTGTGCCCTGCACCAGCCTGAAAGCCAGCACCAGCATCCCACCAGCCTTTCCAGCCTTCCCTGTTGCCCACCAGCGCTTCCAGCGCCCACCGCCTTACCAACCTATTGCCACCAGCCTTTACCAGCCCCTTCCAGCCTTCCGCCTGCCTTACCAGCGCCTGGCCGCCCACCAGCCTGTGCCCACCAGCGCTAGCCTTTCCAACGCCACCAGCGCGCAGTCTGACCCACTGATGCCCACCAGCATCTGTGCCCACCAGCGCCATGACGCCACCAGTATACCAACGCCATGGCCTCAGTATATAACATATAGCCTGCTGTATATAGCCCCATGTAACCTCTTATTATCATAACCCATCTACTTATGCAACACTGTAACCTGCCTTCTGTAACCTGCCTTTCGCCTACCTCCTACCTTGCCTTCACCTTCACCTGCCTTGCCTGCCCCTTCCTACCGCCCTTCTGCCTACGCCTACGCCTACCTTACCAAATTTTTGCCTACCTTACCACCCCTTTCTGCCTACCTTACCACCTTCACCGCTTCACCCCTTTACCTTCTGCCTACCTTCTTGCCTACGCACAAATATCGTTTGTCAGTGATTAAAATCTACCCAGGCGCCAGCACCTGGACATGTGCTTCACCTTCATTCATGACAGATACCTGGTTCATCCCAAGCAGGCAGGATGGCGTGTGTGTTGTTTGCGGCCAGACCGATATTTTCGCCCAGACTTCTCGTACATGCGCACACCGCGGGTGACGCATCATCTTTGGCCCATCCCAAGTCACTGAGAGTCGGCCACCTGACACGTGGCCCAGAAAAATGCGCTGCGGCAGCCGTGGTGCAGACTGGCCACCTTTGAGGACATCTGATTTCAAGTCGAGGTGCAGTATATATGTGTGAGTCTTTTGTTGAGGGTGTCCTTTTCGGAGTGATAAAAGGTAAGCCAAGAGGAGCGCCTTTTTCTGGGGTCGCCACATACCAACTGCCGCATTGCGGAGGAGTTCAAGGCCAAAACCTTGGGCAAGCCTCTGTCCGGGCCTTGGGCTCCAGAGGCTCTCGGCGCGGTGAGAGACTTTCAGGCCAAAGCACGCGGCCAAAAAGGCACGGCATGGTCGCAGGATATCTAAGATGGTTACTGTATGATGGTTTCCACACCCACATTGAACATTGACCCCCTGGAAAATAGCCTGGGGTAGCGGACACCATTTTTGGTTTTAAGGCGCGAGTTCACTCGGGATGATGTTGACTGGCATCCAACAGGCGCAGCTGCAGATCAATCGGCCGCATGCGAAGGACTCAGTTTGAGGTGAAGGTCTGTGAGGGACTTGAGCAAATCCTCCAATCACCAGCGCACTGCGACCCACCTGCAGCCTTGGCAAGCCACGATTTTCTCAAGCCACTCCATGCGTGGCATTGTTGAATCAAAGCATTTCCACGCGAGAAATCCGTATTTTGCCGTGTTGGCTTGGTGCCGCCCGGGCATTTCGACGCTTCGCTGCCAGAATCTGGGGCAGCCACCACCTGTGAAGAAGGAGGCAGGGGGCATGCACAAGCAAAAGCAGGTCATGCCAGCAATGCCAAGTGTTGTAGCTATCGGCCTTGCTGACCCAGGTGAAGACGTTGGATGGCTTCGATCGGCAGCTGACACCAGCAGAGGCTGATGCAAGCTTGCGGTTCTGGCTGCGATTGGTTCAGGCTTTGTTCAAGCATGCGCAACGAGGAAACTTCATCTACCTTCAGGGGCCCAAAGCATGCCATTCCAGACTCCACTTGCCTCCGCGTGGTGAATCAGCCACTGGCTCGCCAACCATCTCAAGCCGGCACAGCATGAGGGAAATCGTTGCACTTGCATTTCAGCCACCAAAGAGGCTGAAGCCCAGCACCCATGTCAAGCTTTGTTCGGCCCAGTCTTGACATGTGGCATGGCATGGGCACTTTGGTGTGCTTTTCTTCTTGCAGCCGCGCAGGCACGAGCAAGTCTACTGTACTCTAGTCTCTTTTGTTGGTAAAGCACAAGCAGGACACGGCCGTGGTCCCGCTGGATATTCGTTATCCTGGTCTGGCTGGCGACTCGAATGGCATTCGACTTTCTGCCAGCAACGTGCGAGTGAGGTCAAGTGCGATCCAGGAGAGATGTATGGTTGCCTGGTTCTACTTAGATGACTCAGAATATGACAGCATAAATGCGACCTGATAGCTGAGGTTGTATGCTGCGATGCTACTCAGGAGTGATGCAAGAGGCGGCCGGTTGCAACCACTGGTCCTCAGAAGCAAGTAGCACAAAGTGTTTGTGGTGTACAGTCATCTTTTTTGAAACGCAACGCGCCTTTTGCCCTTGTACATTTGCCAGGCAAATGCTGATCGAAAGCTTTGCGCTACGGTGCGTTGTGTTCGGGACTGTTCCAGGACAGTTTGGGGGTTGGCAAAAGAGCTTTTGTCAAGGGATCATTGTGACAGTTGGATTGGGTGCGCCACTGTCAAGGGACAATGCACTGCACATGTTCTTGTGGCGTTGCTAATGGGGTCTTCGTGAATGCTATGTACTAGGGATGCAGGGCTTTCCATTTGCTTTCATCGCTTCTTCTTGAAGCGGTTCTAAGCCAAGATGAAGGAACGCAGCGGGCCCGATTGATTCCTTGAACTTACGGCCAATATTTTTGACATGGGTGCTAGGCTTGTTGCAGGGTGAAGCCTTTTTCAAGTTTTGGCTTGTTGCCAGGACAAAGGGCTTGCCAGATGCCAAAAGTAGTATTGCCGTTGTTCCAGCGAAGCCGGCCAGTGGGGGGGGCGGACATTTCAATCATATAACAACTATAGTTTGGGGAGCTTTTGCATGTCATTGCACATGCACGTCACACTTTCACAGCTTTTTCTAGGTCATTCTTTCAAGGCATGCGTGCAGTCAAGTTAACTAGCTAATTAACTAGTCAGGCAAGGAGCTCATTTCAGTTAGAAGGCCAAGTAGTTAGCCAACTTCCCAGTATATAGCTGCCTAGCTAGCTAGTCTGCTACTTAAGCAGGTAGCTCAGTGAGCTAGCTAGCAAGTTAACTAGCCAGTCAGCAACTTGCAGTTTTGGTGTGTCATGTGCAATTTGCACTCACGTAAGTATCCACTTCATAGACAAGAGCTGAGATGCTAAATATTGGCCGGAGCAGGGCGGCCAAAGGGCCATATTCTCGTAGGACCACCTCTCGAGATTGTGCCAGGCTGAGATTGTGCCAGACGAACTAGCATTGGGCAAGTTGGGACTCACTGATACGCCAAGGTCCAGCGAAAGGCCTGGGGTGAACTGTTGTGGCATGTGCTAGGCATGATTGTATTCCAATGTTGGATTGAAGGTTGACTCAAATCGAATTGCGTGCCTGAAACCTCTAGTGGTCATGTTAGGTGGTTCCTTTACGTGATTCTATTAGGATTATAGCAGGGTTTTTTGTTTCAAATCTTTACAACCATCTTAGTAGAAACAATAGTCAATGGATGTTGGGCGCCGCTCATTTGGTTGAAATACTCGATACTGCACCTGCCCTGCAGCCCTCACCGCGTGCGAAACGCTTCTGAATCTCATCGATGTTGGGCACTTATGCCATGGATCTTGTTGCCGGTCGACTGCTGGTCGTGTGCCTGCAGCTTCAGCCTTTCATGAGTTTGACCAGGTAGTGAAAAGTCAGTGCTACATGGACTGCAGCCAATGATATCGTTGCAGACGTCTCACAGCATGTTGTCGGTGGCTAAACAATTGCCGCTGGAGACGTGTGAAAGTGTACAAAGAATATTTGCCTCGCATGGACGCATGAAGGGAAGCGGAGCGAGAAGATGCTTGAGATCACAGATGCAGGGAAGCGACACAGATGGTATTATCTGCAGCAATGCAGGCAATGGCTGGTCTCTCCGGAAGGCAGCTTGAGGCATTTCAGATGGTGTCTGGCTTAGAACAGCAAGCCCAGAATTCTTTGCGCAGCGTTGTCTTGCTGGCAATCTGAGGTGATGAGCAGAATGGAGCGACTGGAGCGGGAGAACAAGGACAGTTTGTCGGTGCCAATCCTTGCGGATTTCTCTCAGACACAGGCGTGACACTTGGCAACTGGCTGCAGGAGCTGATGCAGATTTTGCTCCAGATGCAAGGTGCAACTCTTGGTGAGCTGGGCGGACTGTCACGAGCTGGCTGCAGGTCTGTGGCAGCAATCGCAGCAGCGGAACGAGCAGGCCAATGCAGCCAGAGCACCGGGAGTTCCTGGAGCACAGCTGGGAGCTTGTCATACAATGACGGGCTTTGTTGGCACCACTTCACTCAAACAGCTCTTGGCCCGGCATGTGGCCCACCCCCCCATAGCGCATGCAGGCAGGCACGCATGCTCCCAGGCACACCTGCACACACACACACACCCATGCGCGCCACACGTACCCCTGCACACCCACCCACACACACACACACAAGCCCACGCACAAGCACACGCACAAGCACACGCACAAGCACACGCGCAAGCACACGCACAAGCACACACACACACACACAAGCACGCACAAGCACACGCACAAGCACACGCACAAGCACACGCACTCACAGAGATGCGCACGCACGCACACCCACGTGCACCCACGCACGCATTCCCTCGCACACGCGCACACCCACACACACACACACACATACCCACCCACACCCACACCCACACCCACACCCACACTCACACGCACACGCACACGCGCACGCACACGCACACGCACCCGCACACCCGCACACCCGCACACGCGCACACACACACACACACACACGCACACGCGCACACACACACACAAACACACACTCACTCACTCACTCACTCACTCACTCACTCACTCACTCACTCACTCACTCACTCACTCACTCACTCACTCACTCTCACTCTCACTCTCACTCTCACTCTCACTCTCACTCTCACTCTCACTCTCACACTCACACTCACACTCACACTCACACTCACACTCACACTCACACACTCACACACTCACACACTCACACACTCACACTCACACTCACACTCACTCACACTCACACTCAAACACACACACTACACACACACACACGGGCACACGAGCACCCGCCCACCCACACACCTGCACACCCGAATACCCGGACAACCGCATACGTGCGCACGCGCACACCCGCGCACGCGCATACGCACATACTCGCGCACATACAACATACACATACACATACACCTACCCATGCATATACATATACATACATAAATAGGCATACACATACACATAAACAAACAAACACACACACACGCATAAAATATACACACTAACAGACACTCACACACACACACTCACACAACTAAATACACCAGCACACAAACACAAAATCCACAAAACATCCATACGCATTCACACACAGACCCACGCACAGACACACGCACAGACACACACACAGACACACACACACACAGACACACACACAGACACACACACACACAGACACACAGAGGCACACACCCACACAGAGGCACCCCCACAGACACACTTGATATGAGACGGCAAAACTGACAATGCGCACCACCATGCAGGCACAGGCTGTTTGAAGGTCTCCGGCAGGGCAATGGAGTTTCGGCTTACTGCATGCTCAATCATCTTTCGTGCCACCGACCATCCTCTTCAGGAACGCCATCGGCAGGTGACACTACTTCATGTTGAGACATCCAGCAAGGTGGCGTTCGACTCCAATAAAGAGAGAAAGGCACGACCGCAAAACCCCTTAGGAACAGGGGGGCCACACACACACCCCCCGCAGGGGGAGAAACAGAACAGAACAACCCGAACCTGAACACTCAGAGAGAACGCCAAGTTCTGAAAGCCGCCTCCATCATAATTCCCGATGGGTGATTTGGTCGGTTTTTTAACTCCTGCCCGTGCTCGCCTACTTGCGGCCATTTTGACATGTGGCTTCACCGCCTAAGTTCAGGTGGCCTTCTGATGCTGTTCCTTCACCTTCCTGAGGCGCTCCAGACTCTTCCAGCGCTGCGTGACATCCGCGATGGACCGGTTGAGCTTCTTGGACAGCGACTTGTACGAGTACTTGGACCGGCTGTCTCCCTTCAAGCTGCAGAGCTGCTGGTCATCTTCTTCTGTCCAGGCCCGAGGTACTTCCGGGGGAGTCCCGGGGTTGCCGGCATCGGAGTGAGCATGAGCAGGAGGTTCAGGAAGAGATTCAGGAGAGGAGAACAGTCCAGCGCAAGGAGATACCGGAGCAGGTGCTGGAGTGCGAGATGCTGGAGGCGCCGGAGGTTCCGGGGAGTTCGTGTTCTCGGAAGATGTAGCGCGGCATCTCTTCCGCTTTGTTCGGCGTCGATCAGTACCCTTCTTGTCCATGATGGAGCGGGGAATATTGGCCTTCTTGATGCTCGGCTGACCAACAAAGGCGTGCGCCATGGGGCTCTTCGAGCGTGGGTCTATAGCCTCGTTGGTGTCCCCCGTGATGATGCCGTAGGACAACGACTTGGGGTTGGCCACCGCGTTGTGCCTGTGGTCCGCGTGTAGCTGGAGTGACTGGAAGCCGACTGGTGGCGGAGGGTCGGTCGGAGTCTCTGAATTGACCGAATTCAGGATCACCGGGCCAGGTGGGTCTACCTCATCGAATCCAGCATGATCAGGTGCGTGGTCCGCAAGCGACCTTGCCCGTCATGGTACCGGCGACTGTGTGCCTCGTCAGCCTGATTCAAGGTCTCCTGGATGAGCTGCATCATGTCCGCAGCGTTCTGGGTCATACGGTGGTGAAGTGCTATCATGCGCCCGAGCATGGCGACCGCTCTCCGATGTCGGCGAGAAGGCCAACACTTCTTGAACCAGCGAACGAGCTCCGTGATCCACACAAGAGTCAAAAAACCCCAGAAACCAAACAGAAGAAGAAGAACACCCGAACGCAAAAGCCCAAACGAGCCGAACCAGGACCGGAGAAAGACCGAAAAGACAAAAGCGAGCCACAAAGCCAAACATCGCAAAACAGCGACAACTGGCACTTAAACGTTCTTTCTGGTTGGGATCGCCGGAAGATGAAACAGGTGCTGCAGGTCAGCTGACTTGTAGCCGGCGGACAGATAAATACTGCGGAGCTGATCCAGTGCCATCT